TTTTTTCAACTATAATTTTCTGTGGATTAAAAAAAAATATTCTATTATTATTTTTAAATTAATTTTTTTTCTACACTTTTTAATGTTTTTGTAACCATATATTTAACATTTCGTGTAAGATTTTTTTGAGAGTTTGAAATGTAAAAGTGCCTTATAAATATTTAAATTTCAGTTCGTGTGATTAAAATTACTTAGACTTAGACACACAGGGTAAGGTTTTTAATTGAATAAATAACATTCCACCCCCATATCCAGCGTAATGCCAAGCCCCATTTACCTTTTCTGACTAATGCTAGATATCCACTTTAGCTGAGTTCGCTCAGGACTGCCTACTCGTTTAGCCTCAGTCACACAAACTTCACTGTTTCCACGGAGTTACTGTATATACTTATTAGTTCGCATCGTTTAATTTTTATACACCTGTCAGAGGTGTATCCATATCAATGTCTATCTATGCTTCATTATGTAATCCGATTGCAAAGTAAAAAGAAATATCTTGACTTTATTTTTCTACAAAAAATATGGTTTATTTTATAAAAAAAAAAAACAAATGACCTGCCTATTTTGAATAGAAATGTTTATACATTGAAAACCTAACTAAAATGAGATTAATCCTCTCTCGCTTTACATTTAAAAATGAAACTATAACACGATAGTTTATTTTCTGCCCTTAATCTATTATTTTCTCAAGGTGAACCAACTTAACTAAGTATCAGGTAAAATAATACATTATTTCTCATCGAAATTAAAATAAGATTTTAAAATTAGTTCTGTAGAGTTCAATGTGGGGTGTATACAGTTTTAGTAGAAAATACATTTTTTTTACCAGCAAGGTATTTAGAATGTATTTAAAAACAAGAAGAGTTTAAGACATTTTTTCTTTATTTTATGTTGAGTTATAAAAATAGAATACAAATGAATAAAGATTCCTCTTTAGACCTGACTATCCAGATGAAGTGGAGTTCATGTGTTTCTCGACCTCGGCATATAAAGGGAAAATGTGGTCAACACTATGCCCAGCCATCTTTACTTTTCCTAACGTGAGTTAGGTACTCATCAGAGTTCGGCATATAAAAGGAACTCGAAATTATCGGGTTAGCAGTCTAGCGCTTCACCACTAAGCCACCCCTCAATAACATCCCTCTATTCCCTGTTTACATTTTAAATAAAGAAAAAGTTATACCCGTTATTTATTTACAAAATTAACATCGGCATTTTACCTTTATTTATTTAACATACTCAACATCATATATTCCCGGTTTATTTAACAAACAGAACAACATATACCCTTTATGTGACAATATTAAAATAATATATACTCTGTTAACTAAATAAAAAAAAACAACTAAACATCATCTATTCTTTGTTTATTAAACACATTTAATACTATCCAGTCATTGTTTTTTAAACAAATTAACATTTACTCTTTGCATATTTTAACAAACTGAACATCATCTTTTCTTTGTTTATTTAACACATTAACATCATACATAATTCATTCTTTAACATATTACATATTGTCGATTTAACAAACTGAATATCATCTACATTTGTTTATTTAACAAATTAAACAGCATCTACCGCTTTGTTTATTTTACAAATTAAACATCATCTACTCTTTGTTTACTTAACAAATTGAACATCATCTACACTTTGTTTATTTAACAAATTAAACATCACATACATTTTGTTTATTTAACAAATTAAATATCATCTACATTTTGTTTATTTAACAAATTAAACATCACATACATTTTGTTTATTTAACAAATTAAACATCACATACATTTTGTTTATTTAACAAATTAAACATCATCCCACTCTTTGTTTACTTAACAAATTGAACATCATCTACACTTTGTTTATTTAACAAATTGAACATCATCCCACTCTTTGTTTACGTAACAAATTGAACATCATCTACACTTTGTTTATTTAACAAATTGAACATCATCCCACTCTTTGTTTACTTAACAAATTGAACATCATCTACACTTTGTTTATTTAACAAATTGAACATCATCCCACTCTTTGTTTACTTAACAAATTGAACATCATCTACACTTTGTTTATTTAACAAATTGAACATCATCCCACTCTTTGTTTACTTAACAAATTGAACATCATCTACACTTTGTTTATTTAACAAATCGAACATCATCCCACTCTTTGTTTACTTAACAAATTGAACATGATTTTTCGTCCATGCCCCACCCGCCGTCTCTACTGTAATTTCATCTACCCCCCCCCCCCCACTCCCCCTACACAGCAATATAAATATTGATCCTCGTCCGGTATTTCATTAAACCTTGTCTTTCACACCTCCCCCCCCTCCCACCGTACGCGCCATCCCCTCCCCAGGGGAATCGCGTGCTGAGGTGTGCTATGCAACAGATGTCCCCTGTTCGCTGCGTCGTCACACAATCAAGAGCTATCTCCCCTTAAGTACTTTAACATTCTCTTCCTCAACAAAAGACTTTTTTTTCCGCTTTAAGTTCTACAAACCTTAAAAAAAATTATTGATTTTTTTTCGATCTCGAATTGTGCGCTTTGTGTTAACGAACTTAAAAAATAAATTTTAATGGAAGTGATTTCCCTTTGATGTGTTCGACAACTACGACATATGTTTAGGGAAAAATTCAGCTCCCATAAATGACTTGATGTTGAGTAAGAAAAAAAGCTGAGGTAGGCCTACCTAGTAACACACGTTTTACAATTCAAGTCTGCGTTCAGACTGGATTCGATCCCGCGCCAGATAATGACAACGATAACGACACTGGGTTTAATATGGCAAGATATATTAACATATATTTACATGCTCTTTATTCTATGAGCGCTCCTGTTTAAAACGATTTGTTGTTGTTGTTTAGTTGTTTTTTTTTGTCCGATGAAGACTTGTGGTCTTAGCGCCTATGTATGCATTCGTTTCAAAAGATGGTAACGTGCACTGTGTCTATACTCTATACATAATCCTTTTGTTTAAATTCATATATAATTTATTGACCTTTTTGCTAAGAAAAAATACACACATTATTTGTTTAGTGAGATGAATGGCCGTTATTAACTGAAGCCAAGTTTTTCAATGAAATAAAACATTTTATCGAAACAAGTTGTTCAAAGTACCTAATAGAATTAAAAAAAAAAAAATAAAAAAAAATGACGATTTACCGTACTTCACAGAAAATGACAATTTACCGTACTTCACACAAAATGACAATTTACCGTACTTCACACAAAATGACAATTTACCGTACTTCACAGAAAATGACAATTTACCGTACTTCACACAAAATGACAATTTACCGTACTTCACACAAAATGACAATTTACCGTACTTTACCAAAAATAATAATTCAATGTTCTTCCATTAAAATTAGAATTACCGTACTTCCAGTAAGTCATCAATTTACCGTTCCTCAATAGAAAATAACTATGTATTGCCCTTCTCTCTAAAAGATACTTTACCTCTCTCAATAAGATACTTTACCTTCATCAAAAAGATACTTTACCGTACTTATCACACCCCTTAAAAAAGATAATTTACCATCAGAATGAAATTAACACTACTTTTCAAAATAAGATAATTTACAATACCTTATAATATTAGATGATTTACGGCACGGTCATATATTTCTAAAATAAATTGCAGTACCATCCTATGTAATAAATTGTTTGATGGCGTTAAGTTTACAATTATGAGGTCAAAAACTGGCTTCAATGTCAAGGTTGTGGTTTTAGTTGTGTCGTCACGATGAAGAAGTGCTATCAGCAGAAGTAAACTGCAAAAGACAATTTTAGATTTTTAAAAATAAACGTACCTGTTGTTTATGTTAATTTAATGAGGAATTTTACTATTTTGTCCTGTTATTTTACATCAACCTTCTGTTTTATTTTGCTTAAGCCCTTCACCTCCACAATTAACCGTACACAACCACCCTCCACTACTAACGCAACACCAATAATACTACTCTCAAACCACCGCTAAGCCTACACCATCACTAACCATACACCACAACTAACCTAACGCAATTACCACCACTAACGTTACACAACCACCACACACTACCACACACCACCACACACCACCAAAACCACAAGTAACCTTCCACCACCACCACTACCACCAGCCCTACGCCACCACAACTAATCTTACTCCACCATTACTAACCCAACGCCGACACAACTAACCCTACACCACCACCATTAACTTTACTCAAACACCCTCAATCACTGACCCAACACCCACCACAACTAACCTTACACCACCACTACCACCATTACCCAACACCACCACTACCACCACCACCACTAAACACCACCACCACCACCAGCACCACTAACCCTACACCATACACCAACACCAACAACACCACTAACCCTACAACACCACCACCACTAACCCTACACCAGCACCGCTAACCCTACACCACCACCACCACTAACCCTACACCACCACCACCACTAACCCTACACCACCACCACCACTAACCCTACACCACCACCACCACTTACCTTACACCACCACCACCACTAACCCTACACCACCACCACCACCACTAACCCTACACCACCACCACCAGGACTAACCCTACACCACCACCATGACTAACCCTACACCACCACCACTAACCCTACACCACCACTACCAACACTAACCCTACACCACCACCACTAACCCTACACCACCACAACCACCACTAACCCTACACCACCACTAACCCTACACCACCCCCACTAACCCTACACCACCACCACCACTAACCCTACACCACCACCATGACTAACCCTACACCACCACCACTAACCCTACACCACCACTACCAACACTAACCCTACACCACCACCACTAACCCTACACCACCACAACCACCACTAACCCTACACCACCACTAACCCTACACCACCCCCACTAACCCTACACCACCACCACCACAACCCTACACCACCACCACAACTCTACACCACCACCACTAACCTTTATCTCAATCTTATCTCCCCAGATGTCACAAGCCTAAATCCCCCCCCCCCCCCACCCCACTCCACCAAACCTCGCGCACCAGGTTCGAACCCCACTTAAACCTATCAATGCGAGCGTACTGTATGGAGAGTGGATTGTCCCTGGCAACGAAGCTGATCCCCAACTTTCACACGGATTTTCTCTCGACTGGTGAGTACCATGTAGTGGATGTCTGGTACCTTCTACACCCCGGGGGAGGGGTCTTCTACAGCCCGGGGGAGGGGGTGGTATTTGAAGGTTGGTACCTTCTATAGTCCAGGGGAGGGGGTGGTATTTGACGTCTGGTACCTTCTATAGTCCAGGGGAGGGGGTGGTATTTGACGGTTGTTGCCTTCTACAGCCCGTGGAGGGGGTGGTGTTTGAAGTCTGGTGCCTTCTGCATCATTGGGGGAGGGGTGGTATTTGATGGTTGGTGCCTTCCACAGGCCGGGGGAGGGGGTGGTATTTGCCTTCTTCATCCAGGTGGAAGGGGGTGGTATTTGACGGTTGGTGCCTTCTATATCCTTGGGGGAGGGTTGGTATTTGACGGTTGGTGCCTTCTACAGCCTTGGGTGGGAGGGGTGGTATTAGGTGGATTGTGCCTTTAACACCACGGGATAGAGGTGGTATTTGACCTTTTGTGCTTTATATAGATTCGGGTTTGTAGTGTGGATTGATTCGATGGGGGATGGGGTGACGGTTTTTGTCTTACACGGCCTGGGAGTTGGTTGAGTGGATTGTTGGGGTAGCGAGGGGTGTTTGACGCTTGGTGCCTTCGAAAGTCTGTGGGATGGGAGTGGATGGGTTCTATTTCACCGACAGTGCTTTATATAGACGGATTGTAGTGTGGATTGGTGGGGGGGGGGGGTAGTGTAGGACGGTTGGTGCCTTTTACGGCCTTGGGTTGGCAGTGTGTATTGTGTGTGTGTGTGTGTGTGTGTTGATGTCTTATACAGCCTTGCTTTATATGGAGTTTATAAATGTTATTTAAAAAATAAACATTTCTTATTGTTATAGCATATAGTGAATATCTAAAAAACAATTCATCTGAACATTTTCCTAATTTTTAGTAAAATAATATGGTGCGATATCAACAGTTTTTTTTAACAGCGTTTCATATTTTCCCCTCCGCGGTGGTCTATTTGGCTACATTAATTGTATCCCTACGCTTTTCTTACTTCAAATCACCTGGGTTTTCTTCTTTCCTAAATATCCATCGCCATTTTTTATTTCAACTTGGGACTTCAAAGCGGGGCGTCCGAAAACCACAAAACCCCTCAAGTGTCATGCAAACAGATTTGATACCGGCCTAGTGTCCACACCCCACCCCCACACCCTGGCTGGGGGGTTTCGTCGCGAGGTTAAACGAGGTTAAATTAGGTTAAACATCGGGACGGAACCGTGGGAGGGGGGGGGGTGACAACAATAAGATAAAAGGATAGGACCGAGAGTAGAAAAATAGTCCCATAATGCCCGTCAGACGGAAGTCGAGAGCAGAGAGGTGTGGGTTGGTGAATGGATTTAAAAAATGGCGATACATCAAAGAAAGTATCTTATCTTATCTGTCGATCTGTCCATTTCTTTATCTACATGCTTAGATATATAGGCTATATAGACGATATATAGGCTGAATATATAGATAGGTTATATATATATGTGTGTGCGTGAGTGTGTATGCGTGTGTGTGCACGTATTGAATTGATGTGTGTAGATGATTGTATGTATTTTGAAGGAGACGTAAGTTACAACATCAGTACATGTATATATATACACACACACACATTCATATATATATATATATATATATATATATATATATATATATATATATATATATATATATATATATATATATATATATATATATATATATATAGGTAGAGCGTGAGTGCCCGGGTTGGCTTAGGTTGGGTTCGATCCAGCTGTCAGAGAATCGGCCCTCTATGACATCACTCCAGCGCTATCAGCTCTCATATCTCGTGCTAACATCTCGCTCTCGCGTGACAACATGGCGGCCGAGAGCTGTGATTTTGTACGGGATTAGCGAGAGGTTCGCCCTCTAGTGATAGGGGTATCTGATAACACTGTGGGGAGGGGAGGGGGGTTAAATGTGTTGCTAGGTAGGGGTTGGATATCCATGGATGTGTATACCAGGGTATATTAATCCATGTATAACAGCTGGACAGAGGTAAAAAAAATGAGCCTCAGCTGCGACTTGTATGACATATACAGGCTGTAAAGAGGTGGGATTTACTGCGGGAGTTGCTTTGTAAATCTACACCAGGTTACATGCGGTGAGGTGTTGGGGGGGGGGGGGGGAGAGGGGTGCCGCCAGCGGTGCTTAATTGGTCAGAGGTGTCGATGCGGGACAGTGCATAGTGGGGGTACCAGCGGCGTATGAATAGGGCTTTGATGTGAAGTGCTTATGGGATTGATGCCCATACGTGGCTTTTTTTTTTTTTCAAAAGCAGATGTTCTAAAGTTTATATGTGTGTGTGTCATATATATATGTATATATATATATATATACATATACATATATATATATATATATATATATATATATATATATATATATATATATATATATATATATATATATATATATATATATATATGTAGCGTAGCTAATAGCTGTCGACAGTTGACTAAGGGACAGTGTAATTGTCTTTATGACCGTATGAAACACATTGAACATTGCTATACATTAATTTGTTTTCTTTGTTGTGAGTTGTGTTTCTTGTTTTAACTCGCGTAACACTTTCCCCACCATGATAGGAAAAAGTTGTATTTTTTAATGTTGCTTTCTGATATCTTAACTACCATCATCAACCTGGCCCCACCCACTCCTTATTATTTCTTTTATTGATCTATTCGTCACAAAGGAAAACAAATATCATAGTAATTTAAAAACCTGGTTGTAAATAGCGATCGTAGAAGACAAAGTATATTTGGACAGAACTATATTTTCTTCACAAGAAGCTACAATAATTTACACAAAAAAAAGTATAAACTAGTGTGACTTCCACTGAAATGCCTGTAATAGAAATGCCTATTTAGAAGTAGTTGACCTGTTAGAAAGGGAATTAGAAAGTATCGCATGATGCACTAGCTTTAAGTGGTACATCTGTGTTGAGGAGAGTTCATATTAATCGAGGTGTAGAAACCAAATGCAGTGTGTCCAAAAAACGTCATCTCGAGATAAATGAGTTTATAAATCACATTCCAATAAGAAAATAGTGCAACATATTACGTTTAAACATACATAAAATATGTGCGTTCTACTTTTCAAACATTGTACATGAGTTTACTTATAGCTTATTATATTGACAGTAAAAGTAGAAAAGTACATCGATTTCACAAAAAAGTGGACTTACTGCATTTGTCCTCTATACACACACACACACATATATATATATATATATATATATATATATATATATATATATATATATATATATATATATATATATATATATATATATATATATATAAATGAATAAATAAATAAATAAATAAAAAAAAAAATATATATATATATATATATATATATATATATATATATATATATATATATATATATATATATATATACAGAGAGAGAGATTATCAACACCCCTGATCTGTATCATGAAAACAATCTACATCGATATATTTTTTACCTTGTCAAAATCCACAACCAAACCCTGCCCCGCTTTTATCAGTCTCCCCCCCCCCCAGCCCCCCGCTCCCTATACAAACATGCCCTCACCCCCCCCCATCAACTTTACTGCATAATGTCCCCTCTAACTTCTACTTAAATTTTATTATATTTTCACCCCCTCTCTAGCCGTCTCCCTACCTCCCTTTGAACGTATTTTTTAACACAGCACCGTACAATAGAATCCCTTTTTTATCCCCCCAACTCCCAGATACCATCTAAATGTCCTCGGCTTTATTTTTTTTACAGGTAAATCTCGCACGTGCCTATCTTACACGAGAATCAGCCTGTCACTGCACCCCCCTCCCTCGCTCCCCCCCCCCCCTCCTACCGTAACGACGGCGCGCCACTCGAGGGCGCAATAACCAGCACGCGCACCTGTTGCTGTACCGTGACGTCACACACTCTCGTGCGCGCGTGTCGGTCACGTGACTAATATTTGTTGTCCACTCGGCCACGCATGAGAGGTTCTAATATGTCGTAATTGTTATTGATGTATTTTTTTATGATGGAGTGCCGTCCTACTGTGTGGTAGGGAGCCACGTGTTGGGGTATCCATTTTGTGTTGGAAATAGAGCGAAAAAACAATATAGATGCTGCAAAATGTATTTTAAAAAACAAAGAAATAAAATCTACATAATGACGACGAATTCATTAAAAAAAAGTGTTTCCATTTTGTGATGTTAATAGAACGAAAACAAAATATAGATGCTGCAAAATGTATAAAAAAAACAGAAATAAAATGTACATAATGACGTCGAATTCATTCGAAAAAAAAAAGGTTTCCATTTTGTGACGTAAATAGAATTAAAAAAAAATATAGATGCTGCTAAATGTATAAAAAAAAAACAGCAAAGAATTAAATAACATAACGACGTCGAATTCATTAAAAAAAAAGGTTCCCATCTTGTGATAGAAACAATGAAAAAAATATAGATGCTGGTAAAATGTAGGCTATCTAAAAACAAAGCGATAAAATGTTGTACTTAATAACGTCAAAATTTATTCGAAAAAAAAACTCGTCTTAAAAGGCTAGACAACAATCCACAAAAATGGCTGCAATAAGTCCCACCTAGAACGCATCCGACATTATTTATAGCCATATACAGGTTCTCGTGTTCTGAAATTATCTAAAGACTGAAAGAAAATGATTTATTTGACGAATACTTACAACCTAAGTGAAAACCTGACTTTTTCTCGATTTAAAAAAATATCGACGACGAGTGACTAGTAAATTTTACCATCGTATCGTCATCTATGTTGATACACTTCTCCTGTTTAAAAAGAAAACAAACTTTGTACATTTCCAATCTGTCTAAATGTCTGAATTTTTCTTTTAATTTATAGATCCTACTAAATCGTGCTAAATCTCTAAGATATATACAAGTGCTAATACAAGCTCAAAATTGTATTATTTTGATATGCTATTTGGATAGTTATTTCATAGATATCAGTCTGTATATATTATGGT